GATACATTGAAATATATCAATTCTCTCATTAACTAAGGGAACTTGAATTTAAATTTAATTTTGAACTAAACCCTATTTAAAACAGTGAAAAAACTCATAAATTATAAGGAATTTATTTCTCACATATCAGAATTGATTCAAATTTTTGTTTCATTTATCACACATTCACTTTGATCTAACATAGTTTATTGACAGTTTAATTAACTCTTTTTTGTTGGAAAAATAATAAAACTATATCAAAGGTCTCGATGATAACTGTTGCCAATTGGTTAAATTTTAATTAGAAATTTTAGATTAAATTACAATTGCCAGATTCGAGTGATATTTTTTTAAGTAAACACTATTCTAATTGTGGAACGATCCGTGATTGTGCCATTTTTTTCAAAGGAATCAAACATTTGGCAATCCAAAAATATGATCATATTTCGATTTCTTCGATATTACGAAATTTCATTTCACATTATCAAATGCTATTATATATTAATTTTCAATATCTCATCATAATGATAAATATTATGATATTATCAGCAATATTTATCTCCTTCGATAATACAAATTAACATTACTAAATGTCACCAAATTGGACAGTACTTAAAAACATTGTATCATAAATGGCATTTTAACGAAAATTTTCGGAGAATTATATACTTACTTATTGGAGAAACATCATCAAATGATTTTGCATTTTGAAAAAGAGTCTAATTTAGTTCTGCCTGAGCGAACATACAAATTTCACAGTTCCATAAATGTCATATGAAAAACAACATTATTGGAAAGATGACAAAATAACTGTCAACTTATAAATTTCCAGCACATTTAGCAGTTGCTATCTTCGTTACTTTTTTTTCTGCCTAATTGTATTCATTAATTTTTTGAAGAATTTTTTCTTCATGTATTTTTATAAAAAGGATTAATTAATCAAGGAGATGTCCAAATTGAAAGTGTTCGAAAGAAAGAAATAAATTGAGGAAGTATTTTCATAAAGGTTATTGGGATACCTATGCTTTAGCTTAAAAAATAATTACTGGCATCGTTATAATTGCTCAATTATTATTAATCTTGAAATTTCAAATATTTCTGCTATATAAACTTAACCTTCGAACTTTTAACGATTTTGTCACCCTACTTCCAAATTGTTTTGCACGACACAAACAAACCACGCAATAATTATCCAAACAAAAGGAAAAAAATTTTTGCTTTAAAATTTTGAAGAAAAAAAATTTTAAAAAACGATTTAAGAGAAACACCTTATTTTGTATATCATGTAATATCATGGACATCACTTTTTTTTTTGGCCCATCATTTTAAGCATAATATTTGATTGATTCAGATAGGTTTTTGAGGAATGATAGTTTAGCGGTCTGAAATATTTAAATTTAAATTTATTTTTCAAATGGGCGATTATAATTAATATTCCTGATCTTTCACAACAACATTATCCAGTTTCCGAATCTGCAATCGTAGTTTACCAGATTTTCCGAGAGTTTAACGATAAGGAAAGAGATAATATTTCATTGTCTATCTATCTTTATTTCATAACTGTTACAAAAAGTTTTCATTTTTTAATTTTTTCAACTTTTTTTCACATTTCAAGTTTCACTTTATCCTTATCATAATATCATGCTTTTTTTTGGTCGATTTTTCATTTCTGATAGAAAAAGTTCACGAGAAAAATGTCATTTCGAGAAAAAAGAAAGTCACAAGAAAAGATAAGAAGAGTTCTTTTTTTCTTAAATTTAAAAATGAACACTGTTTATTTTTTTTTCGAATTAGCAAAGTGATATTTCCCATTTCTTTAAACTTGCTGAAAAATGTTTCCTTTATTGTTTTAAAGAAAAAAAAGAAAATCATCAGATTATCGAAATCTACACTTGCAATAATACCACTACCAATGTATGTTTACATTCCTTATTTGCATAGCAAAAAAAAAACAACTACAAATAACAATTATTGTGTCGATCATTTATTATAAACACTGATGTAATAGAAATTTATTCGTCCAAAATTTTATACCAACAACAACAACAACACAATTATTGTCGATTTAACTCGCTTTATCCGACCATTATCAATGATGCGCAACAAACCCGATTATCATTTTTGGAATTCATTGCGAGGACAGTGACCATGACAAAGAAGTGACCTTCCCAAAGTCTGAAAAACCCGCAATTCTCGATATTTTTACCGTCCATTCAATCATTTTCACATCTATAACCCTCAATTTTCCTTTCATAATTCTTCCTCATGCTTACAATTGTGCAATGATGATCTGTTAGTTTTTCGAGAATTCCTCACTTCCCCTTCCTCTTCAGCTTTGTCGTCTCCCCGCTTCCCCCGCCTCTCTGGTTCATCCCTTTATCTATTCCCATTTCAGCTTTCCTAAAAGACCAATCAACTATCTTCTTATCGCTACTGATTTTCATTCAACAAAAAGGCCATGTTTTTATAATTTTCTTCTTTCGAACCTTCCTTTTTTTTTTCTCGAAAATTTGCAATTCTCGAAAATGAGCAACGATAGCGTTCAATGGAGCGTTACATTGCACTACAATTACATTATTATATATATCATCTGTAGAATTTGTATAAATTTGATCAATTCGTCCCAATCATTTTCATTTTTCCCTCTCTTTTCCTTCTCATCATTTTCGTATTAATTATCACTGCAATAAACATGCAGCATTCTTAACTTTAAAATTATGTCTCGCATAAAAAAGTTCCATTCATACTCATCTTTAATCCTATTTCTTTTTTTTTTGTCAATTTTAAATCTTGTCAGAAGTTTGAAATTGAATATTCTTCAGATTATTCATACATCATCATAGATTTATGGCAGGAAGATTATGATAAAGCAAAAATAATAATTAATCCAATGATACAGTATTAGTTGTATTACTTTTGTAGTATGATACAAATTGTGAATGTCAAATGATTAGTTGCATTTATCAATGGCAATGTTGGGAGGGGCATTGATAAAAGTTTGAACTATTCCTTTCTTCATCATCGAAACTTTCAACTGTCCCATTTCCTACCCAATTCCACTTTCTCCCATTCATTACTAACCTCCTTTCAAATGATCTGTTGAAAATTCAAGCTAATACTGCTCTCTTTTATCATTTTTCAATTTCTATTTTATTATTTCATCCTTTCTTTTTTATATATTTTGTTTTTCTTTAAATGCTTTATTGAAATATACACACATTTTTTTTGCGTTTTTTGATATGTATCATTTAATCAAATACGAAATACTTAAATAATTTTCAGTTCATTGATTTTTCCAATTCTATTAAATCTAATTTAGGCAACGAATTGTTTTGGGAATTGCAACGGTCAAACAATCTTCAAATCTAAACGGTCAGCGTACTGACCAATAAAGCCGTAAATCATACTAATAATATCCAGTGTTCACTTGAAAGTGTAATCCTCAGTAATCATCCTGATTAATAACTTTTCTGCTTTATCTATTGCTGTGATAATGCAAGTACTCTTACAATTAAATTTCTTTTGGCTTGTCCTGAGAAACTTGTGAAGATTTAGTATGACAACACAAGACTGTGACTCAGTGAAATCTTGGAAATACTGAAACTCTGAAATGAAACTTATAAGCATATTTTTCCAAAAACATTACTAATGAATCACAATTTTTACCTTAAATTGACATTTGCGACATTTATTATGACATCCTTATCAATAATGAGTGCTAGAAGATATGATACATATTATGAGATATTTCACATTTCAGTAAGCTGATATGAGCGCTTTTAAAAATGAAATCCTAACGGTTAGATAAATGAGTTCGCAGAATCATTCAAATATTCAAGTATTACCATTAAAGCGATTTGTCAACTTAATCAAAATTTTAATATAAAATTGCACTTCAAGCGCAATAGCCACTTTTTGCGCCATCGTTAGGCATTAATTGACTTCAGTGCAAAAGATAATAAATTGATACAATTTGTTGTTTGAAGCAAATTTCTCATCGTTCAATGAAAAATTCTCATTGCACTATTTTAAATAAAAAGAAAAAAAAATGAAGAAGGAAAGTAGAAGTGAGAATGGAGATTAGAAAACCATTAAAATATTCGGATTCTCTTTTAATTAATTAGTTTATTTCTTTAAAATTGTTGTAGAGCACTACAGTCAATACTGTAATGTATGCGTATACCATTTTACTCTTCATCGATCACTAAAAAATGATCAAACAACAAACTTTTCCACTTTTTTTTTTTTTTGAAATAATCAGTTTTTTTCAAGAAATGTACTCTCACATACATTTCCTCCACATACAGACAGACAGACCGACACATACACAAATATACATAGACGAACTTTTATTTACATATAGAAATACAGACACGGTAAACTTATTCTAAGCATGCTTGTTATTAAGCAAGGAAATTAAACTTGGTGACATTCATTCGCAGTTGCATAAACACACATGTTCCTATACATATGTACGCACATGCGCATGTGCATGGACTGAAACACAATTTAGGTCAAAGGGAAGAAGTTCGAATTATCAGTCTTTACTGATAAGGGAACAATCACAAATAAATTTCCAGTAGCTTCGTTAAGCTTTTTTTAAAAGATGTTCGAAACCTTCAGATTAGAGAATTTTAATATTTGTGATGCCAAATTTGATGTTAAAACAGTCCCCGCTATTTATATTTTCCAAGACCTTTTCCTATTTAAGCTTTTGAACAATTATTTGCAACGATTCATTCTCCGCCGAATTATTTTGGTATTAATCGATGAGTTACGTAATATAATCAGATGCGTTTGTATCATGTTTCGCAATTTCATATGCAAAAGTTGCAATAACGTATGATTATTAATTAGTATAATTAAGGAAATATCCCCGCACTATGGTGATTTTATGGGGTGATCAATAATAATGCATTCATCAATTGGTATAGCATCCACGTTGGTTGATTGATTCTGTCAACGAATTTTTGAGCATTTTCTTCAGTCACAAAAAATTGTGCCAGCAACTGTCCAACTTTTCTCCATTTTTTCGTTGAACTGTTGTAAAGAAGGCAAATGCATGAAATGATCGGCAACAGAACCGGTAATAGTGGCGGTAATCGTTTTACCGCCACTCAGGTATCCTTTTGCTTCTCCAAGACTTTTTCCAATTTTAAAAATGACTGAAAAATGGTTGTTATAAACTGCAAAACAACAGTAAACATAATGGATTAGCAAGATTTCATAAGATTTAACAATCTCTTTTTAATTGATTAGCGCAATTTGTGATTATGAAGAGCTTAGATAAGTATATTGGTAATTAATTAGGATCAGATGAAAGTACTTCCTGGTATTTTTAAAGAGAAATAAAAAATGAAAAAAAATTTCATCTTAAAGTACATTATGAGGGAACAAAATACTATTATATTTGGTAAATATATTCTAAAACATTCCATCTCTTAAAATTTCCAGGTAACATTTTTGTGTCAGGTATGCAATGAACTTGCTAGAGGCTATCATTTTGGAGCATTTACCTGTGAGGGTTGCAAGGTAAGTTCGATTGAAAATGCTTCATTCTGTGACAAACATTCTGATTGACAACATTCCTTTTCATTGACAAATTTAAATGCAGCAAAAAAAAGTCACACACATTTTGATAAGCGGTGAAACGACATGTATAGGCTTTACGAATGATTATAAAAATTTAACTAACAAATTTCAAAAGACTATTTCAATTTAACCCTAAGCTATTTGGAAAAAAAAAGGCTAATTAAGTTTAAACTTGCATTCATGGACTTGTCACATCATTCGTTTAAATCATTTCAACATTTTTTTTCGATAAATGAAAAGAGATAAGGTGGCGGAAAAATTTTCGGTTTACTTAGGAAACGTTTTTCTTTGACAAAGAATGAGGAAAAAAAAAAGAGATGGAAAGGAATAACGAAAAGTTAGTTTTACTCTGAAATAAGTGCTCTAAAAGTAAAAGTACAGTAAAATAAAACGAATATGATAAAATGTTTCAATTGGTTCAAGACGAAAAAAAAAAAGGAACTACTTCAATGTAAAATAACGAAAGATTACATTAATTGCCGGTTCTGAAATTCCAGTAAATTCATACAGTAATAAAAAAAAAGAAAAAAAGAAAAAGGAAAAAATCATTTATGTAATTATTGAATAAATTTTCTCATTATTTTTTATTTCTTTTTTAAACAATTAAATATCCTTTTTTCATTTATTTTTACTTTTTTTTTTTTGAGCACTTAATTAAATAATGTCATTGAAATTGAATGTTAACGTCATCTTATTTACTCTATTTTTTCTCCTGTTTTCAAATATGTGACATTACCTTCATATTGTACAATTTTTCAAATTTCTTTTGCAGTCATTTTTTGGACGAACTTGCAAACCTTCAAAAGGAACAACCGCTGATGGAAGTAATGATAGCAAAATGTTAAGTACAAAAATGAAATTATTCTGCAAAAATGGTGGAAAATGCAATGTACAGGTAAAAAGGCAATTATTTTCACCATTCATACCTGAGAGTTCAATTAAATTGCTTACTTCGGAAAAGATAATAAATTTAAATAAATAAACTTAGATTTAATAAAATACTGCAGGTGATAAATCTTCCCCTCCATTTTTTTCTCTCTCTCTCTTTCTTTCTTCCTCGTCATACAGTAAAATGTTCCAAATTTTTGAATGAATTTTTTCATCTTTTTTGAATAATCTTTTTACAGATTTTTCTTTTTTTTTCTTTTTTTTCAGGGACGAAATCGAACTTCATGTAAACTATGTCGTTTCAATAAATGCATCGAAGTTGGGATGGCACCACAAAGTATGTCAAAATTTGATAATTAATCAAATAATTAAAGTAGGAACCAGTGAATTTTGAGTTTTTTTCCCCTGTAGAATGAAAAATTCCATCAAAATAATTTTTATGCGTAAAAAAAAGTATTTAAATCAACAAAACTTTGCTATATATCATTTAATTCCGAAATTTAAAAATATTTGAAATAATACATTTTCTTTTCAGACTCACGCTATGGCCGTCGTTCTAAGTATTTTAAGGTTTCGTCACTCCTGAAAGCTCAAGAAAGAGCTCGTTCTTATGGTGATTATCAATCAGCAAGTCTATTAGATTCATCAGCTCAGCTTATCAAACCGGTAGTACCAGCACCAATTTGGGCTTTCCCTATTTGGTTGTCCACTAATATTTTCAACACTCGTGATGTCTTAGTGATTAATGATACTTGTAATCAAAAGGATTTAAACAACTTTATTCAATCCTATCCCCAAACCGAACCATTAGATTTATCAATTAAGAAGTGATAAATTTGAAGACAGAATTCTGTAATTCTGTTTCTTTTTAACAAAATTTAAGCATAAATTAAAGCGAAAGTTCCAAAAAAAATTTTTAAATTTTGTGCTAAATAAATTGTTAAAATGAAATTAAAATTTGATGATAAGAAAATATTTGGATACTTTAAGAGTTGGATTTTAATAATTTGAAATTTAAAAACCGGCTAGTAATGCTTATAAAAAGTGGTTTTTTTTTCTTTTGCAATGCTCAAGCATAAATTCTTTGTTCCGGGTCTTCCTTATTTATCAGTTCACTATAAACTGTCATTTTAATTAGTATCATTAATTAGATTAATTTATCTTTCATTCAGTGGTTTCAATTAAATGAGTACACATGCTGATAGAAAGTCATTTAACGGTGGTGCAAAAAAAAAGAAAAAAAAGCGATTGCATTCAGCTGCATGCATTTGACATGCATGCAGCTGAATGCATTTCGATCATCAATTCTCTCTTACGATACTATACTGAAAGTTTCTTTTGTTGATAACTCAGGATTTTTGTGAAATATTTACTTGTATTCATTAATTAAATTGTATTAATTGCTTTTTCCTTCTCGAATTTTAATTCATTTTCTGTATTGGTATTTCCGAATGTAACTATTCTAATTAAAAAGTCTTCTAATTAATAATTAGCAGTTCTTCGTATTATTTAACTACTATTCTAAAACTCAGGCATTTATTTTCAATCCTTTCTTGTTCCATTTCATTCTACATTAAATTTTTTTATCACTTTTGCAAGTTTCATTCTCCAAGTACTGTAATGCAAAAAGAAGTGAAGGGAAAAAGATGCTGAATTTTCAACTTATCAATATCGTTTAATAATTTTGATACTAAAAGGCGGAATTAATGTACTCATTAACTCATTAACTTTCATTAATGAAAAATTATAAAATGGTCATTATTTCCATTCTATTTTCAAGATTTGAAATTTTCAGAATGATAAAGAAATCCAGCAAAGAATAATTCATTACATTGAAGAAAATCTTAAAGATTTCCAGTACAATTTATTTAAAATATTCGATCTATTTGTGAATTTAACCAAATTTGAATATTTCTGTCTGTGTGTTTGTTTTTTTTTTAATGTCTGAAAGATACTTCAAAGACTCCGCAATAATTATTGTTCTAAGCGTAAAACATGTGAGCGGTAAGTTCCTGTAAAAGATAATATTTTTTTAATTGGTCACTTTCAATGATCCTATTACTGTATTTGAGCGGAGCTGGCAATCAAATCTTTGTTTTGAATGAGAATTAATTACTGAAGGATATGTGCGTACCATTGCGTTTTTGATTCTTGACATTGGTTAATACTTTTTCCGAGAATAAAGTAAACAAAACTTCACTGTCGAATGGTTGAGTTAGGTTAGCTTAATAGCTTAATAACTAAACCAAACATTCTCTATCGGTCGAATTGAACTTTAAATTTAAATTTACAATGAACAAAATTTGTTACGGATACCAAAGGAAGATCATTGAAAATTTTAAGACGGTTAAAAGCAATTTCGGCTATTTTGAAATTTCATCATTTAAAAAGTTGCATATTATATGGATAGCACTCAGGTGGAGATTTCTCTGAAAGAGAATTGCAATCAATCAATTATATTTGGAAAGGAATAGAATTAATCAAAAAAGCTATAAACCTTTCAATTGAATCGCTACTTCGCTAACAATAAGATTTTGAAAATCAATATCAATTTCAAAAACTTTGAGGTTGGTAATGTTAACAATACTTGATATAAAATAGAAATCATTTAAGGCAGCCGAAAATTTGGAATTCTAACCATAGGAAAGGTTAGAATTATTATATTTTTGCACTCTCTTCCAAATTATAACCTTGAAAATTCTTTGCTTTTAATCGAACAGAAATTTCAAAAAAAAGGATATAAAATTCCGAAAATAATTCAAGCGTTAGAATGAAGGCGCAATTTGTTTGCTTCTAAAACAACCATCAAATGCGCCATACTGAACAGATAGACTAATTTATATTTTACTCTTATAAGATCAAAAAGTAAATTGGAAAATTAGTGGAAAAAGCAGAAAACCAGTTCTTATACATTATCATTTATATGTTCCATTCACTTCCTACAATATTTCATTTATTGTTGCTATTCTTTTTTTTAAATGTCTTTTTTTTTTTTTTTACTAGTAACAAATACCAACCATTGTCAACCATAATATCAAATGTCAACCATCTCTTGAATTATTAAATTTCAAGCAGATTTTGATGAATTTAGCAAGAGTTTTTTCAAATAATTTTTTTTGGTTAAAAAATAAAGTCAAAAAAGATTGAAGTA